TAAGTTTTTCGGGCTGTTCGGGATTCCACACACTACACCAGAACACAGAGTTCTAACTCCTGTCCTCTGAAGATGCCAGCCACAGAGACTGGTGAAACGTTAGGAAAAAAACGCCCAGAACAAGCCTGAAAAACCTACAACAACTATCGTATCCTGGCCATGAATGCCTTCGAGAATACAAGTAAGTAAATAAATATCTTCTGTCCTATTCATTTAGTTTTGTCAGACATTAGAATCAAATAGATACCCCCTCGCCTGACTCTTCATTATTACTTTAATCCATGCTGCATAAAATGGATGAAAAACAGAATTTCTGTTGCCATAAAAATTAAAATGAAACAGTCAAAACATTATCTACTATGTCAGGCATAGTAATTCTAATATCTGTGACCACTGGATGGGTGGCAATAGTAGGACATCTCGCACTAGTAGAAAGAAGCTTTGCTGGAGGTGTAGTATGTCCAACACAGGCCACAACCTAGATTCATGTAGAAAAATCCCCTGTTGCATTAAATTGTGAAGGGTTTAAAATCAAAGACCAAATAGATATTCAGTGGGGGAAAAGGCAAGAAAACTGGCTTCTACAAATCCCATTGTGGCTGGTATGAGCTGATAGACGTTTGAAAGTAGCAGAGGATATACTATTTCATTCCTTCCACTCTTGACTCAGGATTGCTTAGAATCACCATACTATAAGTAAGTCTGTTTCATTAACTTAGTTTGGCAATGAACCAAATTATTTTCATCATTTGGCAGTCTATGACACTGACAAGGGTCTCAGAATTGTCAATCCATTTGTCAAAAATCCGACTAAAGTGGCAAGAGTTAGCCCCTTCAAAGGGGGGGGGGGAGACTCAATTCTACCATGCCCAAGGAAGCTTGGCTATGCTTTAATGGTTAGTGATCAGATGGCAAGCCCTAATCAGAAATCATTATGTACAATGAGTTAGAAAGCCAAGATTTATCCTAAGTGTTTTTCAGCATGTCTAACTTAAATTTCAATAACTGGGGCAGTGTGACTCACCCTAAAGGTACAGGTGGTATATATACTGTACAGGTAGCATGTCTAACTTAAATTTCAATAACTGGGACAGTGTGACTCACCCTAAAGGTACAGGTAGTATATATACAGGCAATATATATAGATAGATAGATGGTTCATCCACACCTGTTAGGTGAAAAGGCACATTGGTTTTTTATATATATATAACACCGATGTGCCTTTTCACCTAACAGGTGTGGATGAGCCATCTATCAGTGCTGTAAGGACAGAGCTAGTAAGTGATGCCTATCCAACTGTATACAAATATTGTGGCCTCCCTCTGAACAAATTGATCATTGTGGTATCTCACACATATTTGTCAGCTTTTCTATGCCAACAGTTCTTCATATTCTTTAACTTACTGAAGTTAAATAGTCTACTGGCCTTACTGGATTACAGAGCTATCTAGAGCAAAAATGCTTCAAATAAATGTCAGAGACAGATGTTTATATTTTCAAGTATTAGTCCTATTCAGAAATGGGAAAACATCAGAATTACTATTCACTGGCATCAGCCTTTTAGGTACTGCTACAAATATAAGTTAACAGAACTGAAGTTCTTCATTCTAAATATCAATGTCATTTAAGTAAAATGTGACAAATCAATCTGTATATACAAGCCTGCTTGCAGATTTTTTTTAAAAAAAGGTGTGTATTTCACGTATCAATAGAAACATAAAGGAAGTATAATATTTATTTATTTATTTATCTTATATGCCACCCACTCTACCCAAAGGTCTTTGGGCAGCTTACAACAATTAAAATTCAATTCAAATACAACAAAAGATAAAATGATTAAAATACAATTAAAATTGTCATCAGGACCCACAGTTGATGTTATTTCAATTAAAAGCCTTCTGGAACAGGAAGGTTTTGACCTGGCGCCAAAATGTCATCAATGTCTGCGCCAGACGAATTTCAGTCGGGAGGGCATTCCATAGTCTGGGGGCAGCTGCTGAAAAGGCCCTTTGTCTACAAGCCAACCCTCTTACTTCCTTAAGGGACTGCGCTTTCAAAAGGGCCCCCTGGCTAGATCTTAACTGCCGGGTAGGCTCATATGGAAGGAGGCAGTCCTTCAGGTATCCAGGGCCCAAGCCGTTTAGGGCTTTATACATCAAAACAAGCACTTTGAATTGGGCCCGGGGCAAATTTTATTTTATTTCTTCCCCAGCTTCTCATCACAGATTAAAAATTAAAAGATAAACTAACATTGCAAACTTGTGCTTATTTACTCAGATGTCCTACTGTGTTCAATGGGACTTATTCCCAGGTAAGTATGCATCTGACTGCAGTCCTAAGGGGAAAAATTCTGAGCCTTCTGTTTATCTCTATAAAAGCGGAAATTGCTCTAACTCTTCTCAACACTGAAAAACTCCAACTCACATAACACTCACAAACTATTCTGACTATATCACGTACACCAAATAAATATTGGCACCAGAAGTATTTGATATGTACTTATAGAACATGATACAAAAACATAACAGTACTAGCAACATAAGGCACAATCCGCATCCTGCATATGCAACTTGCTGGATCAGCAGACTGGCTGGGTCTATATACAAGCTCCATATGGGACACTTGTAGCTGCCAAAACTAATGTGTTCCAATGTACAAATGCCTTCTTGATGGCTGATGGAAAAAAGGAATATAGTAGTGCATCTAAAATCTATGTAGAATCCTGCCCTCCTCAGCCGCCACTGAATACCTTAGATGTTCCCTTACTAACTTAGTTTTTCTGAAACAACCTCTGAACATTCTCTGATTGTCTTCCACTAAAGTTACTAACCTGAATCCCAGATATATCTTGTGTCTTGCTCTTTTAAAGACGTTCCTTAAATCTCAGGTGGCCTCACTTATTAACCTCTATTGTACAAGAAATACAGATCAACGTGTACCACAAACTTGCCTTTACTTTACCAAAAAACAATTCATCATTCTACATTCCCAGATAAGAAACATCCAATTTTAACCTGCAAAATCACTAAAACACATTTTCCTACTGGAAAATATTGTAGCTTGATTTTATTTTCCCAGACATTTCACCTCTCAGATTATTAAACATAAAAGACAAAAATAATTGTCACATTCTCACTAAATAGCATCACCAAATATCTAAAAGTATTAAATAAACTGGAATGATAATCTTGAGGAAAGAATGTGAATAATGAAGATATTAAGTAATTCGGGATTACTTAATTTCAGGATTAAATGTAAACAGGTTGGAACTTCTCACTAGAGTTTAAAAATATTGAGGTACTGAGACCATAAAGAAGCAAGCAAACAAAAAGAAATCCACTGCATGGAAAAAACTTCTATGTCAATAAAAACAATATAACTTTTTTCCCTAGGCATATTTCTTATTGCATTAAGAGCATACAAAGTAGCTAGGCTCAATCCAATCAGTGTTAAGCACACTGAAACCCTCCATGCTGAGGAAACACAACCTTAACTAGAACACTGGAATTAATGGGGCTGCAAAATGTTTACACTTGGAATCATGTAGCATTTAAAAAGTGAACCGTTCAGGACCATGCTATGTAACAACAAACCTACAATAAAACCTGATAAAAGAAGGCCTTTCAGCACAGAACACTTCCCTCCCAAAGGCCACCTGTGATGTGAGCATCAGCACAAAGTTGCACTCACAAAATACTGTTGACAAGGTCACCTGTGTGTATCAGCTGTGTCTTAACTTTCACTTTTGACAAATATACTGTACTTTACGTCTTCACTGCGTGTACTTCAGAGTCTGCCTACTTACCTGCTTGACCGGTGGTAACCGTAACAGCTGCAAAAAGCCTCTGGGAGCGGCTTAAATCAGAAACGCCATTTACAGCTTCAACTTCAAAAGTGTAGTTAGCATGAGCTAACAGGTCCATGACGGTGACGTAGTTGTCTACTAATCCAGTTTGCTGGGGCATATATCCAACATTGCTCCCGCAGGGAACACATTCGCCCTGTTCCCAGCTGCACCGCTTGCACAGTACCCTGTAGGTCACGTCATTTCTTCCTCCATTATCAGCAGGAGGGCTCCATTCCAAACTCACTGTAGTTTGGTTAATATTGAAAATAAGGTTCTGTGGTGCAGATGGAGGTCCTTTATTAAGCAAAAACAGAAAAATGGGAAGGGGGAGAAATCAGCAGGGAAAATTTAGCTCATGCTTTAATTACCTGGACAAAATCTTGCCAAGACATAAACTTTTCATTATGTTTATTACATGCTACCAAAAATCTACTTGAACTCACTTGACAAGAAGTTTTATTTATTTTCCATTAAGGAAACAGGATAGTCATTTTCTGTGTATTTACTACACCTAGCTTTAGCAGCTTTTCTTCTGTGCAATTAATGGGATAGGTTAATGTTCTTCTAAAGCTGACTCATATAAAATTCTTTCAGTTGATCCCCCACCCCTTAAAATATATGAAATAAAATTCCTTTATGTATTTCTTCCAATCCTTGATGTGATTTACAAATTTGAGGGTCTGGCAAATAAATCATTACCTAATCCTACCATCTATACAAGTTAGATTATTTGCAGATGGAATGCTAAGTCAGATCCCACTGCATTTGAATCAAACTCATTTTCAACGCAGGTTAGTTTTCATTTCATATATTATTCTTTTGGCACTGTATCATATTTTGCAGTGCAGGATATGTAGAGAAACCATATTCAGTCCTTCAGCTGTTACTGACAATGTGTTTCCCATGTTGTAGGGATATGAATATTATATTTATGTTTGCACACCTTGCTTCTCAATAATAATCTTCATTTGCAAACACCTCTGTTCAAATTCTCTGTATACCAGAGAAAGAGAGAGACAGAGAGTGTGCACACATCTTGCAAATGTCCGTGGCTGGCTAAGCAAGAACCTTTTGCAATTACATCCATGAATAACTCACTTGTGCATGCGACATATGGTGGATCTGTAGGTGCTCTGTAATAGCTGTCTTCACAATCACATCGTGAAGATCCTTCCCTGTCTGAAAAACTGTGCATAGGACAGCGGGAGCACTGCAGATCTTGTGAAGATGACTTGTAGAATCCACGGCCACAGGCTAAGGGAGAATGAAACAAACAGACACTATTTTGAACACACCTGTGTTTCAAAAGGAACTTGCTTTCAGGAATGTGTAAAACAAGGACAAGCATTCTGAACAAACAGTTTACCCCTCTTTCACAGCTTGAAAGATCATGCACTCTGCTCCCACCAATGAAAGCAACTGTTGTGATCAGAAATTATTAACTGGAATACCTTGGGTTTAATGGTAGCTACCTCTTCAACCAAAGTACCATCATCTGCCACAAAGTGTTGTCATTATAAATATGAGGGAACAATGCCTGTTTCCTTTATTGTTATTGTAAAGATTGACAATAACGCACATGAAATGTCTTGTATTCTTTAGAAAAGAAGTGTGTTCAGAACAAATAAAATACACACAAATACTATTATTGCCAATAGCAACACATCCTACTCTCAGTACATCCATGCTGGGTCAGTATTTGACTTTTTTATAGTAATTCACTGTTGCTATTAATGGGGAAAATCAAGTATCAGATTACTGTAACTGTTGATATCATCCTACTTGTAGGTTTCTAACAATATTCTCTCTTTTTGTTCAATAAACAAAGCACTGCACTATACTATTATTGTTGTTAGTGGAAAAATAAATACACCAACTGGTTCAAAAATATTATAGGTACATGCCTTAGTTTCATCTGATGAGATATATTAGCTAAATGAGTAAAAAAAATTAAAAAGCAAAAACAATCATCATCTACTGCAGGCAAAGGTAAATTATGCTTTACTTTTCTTTTATTTACAGTATCAACCACAACCCACGGATGCATATTTAGTCACCTGTTATGCATCCTTATACTGAATGCTGAAAGTCTGTTGGTGGAGCTGCACTGTGGAATGAAAATGACATCACCGGTTGCAGCCATGCAGTGGCCATTTCAGGGCAAGAAAACTACTCTACACTACACTTCCTCTTACCCAAAAGGCTAAGAAAGTTTTCTAAGTCTCACCCAAAGTTTCCTCTGGATCCTCATCATCCTCTGGCAGGTGTGGCCACAGCTGATGTCACCATCCTCACTGCATGGCAAAAAGTTGCACAACAGGATTTTCACCAGTGTTTAAAATAGGATAATAGGGATTGTTCTTTTTCTGGCTATTTGTCAATGTTATGAACATTGAAGATTATAATATCATAACAACAATTATATAAAACATAACGGTCCCTTACTTTATCCTTCCATAAAACAAAACCCCTTGATCTAATCTAACGTCTTCTGTTTCCTTTGTTCTTCATCTTTTTTTAAAAAAAAATGCTAAATGTTTTGGGGGAGTTGATTAGGAAGCTAAGGAGGAATGTGTGGCTAAGACAGAAGTCTTATGAGATAAGATTGTATGATCATTATTTTGGTCTCATATTAACATAACTCTAAACATTTCTTGAGGGCTGGTCCATTTTATCTAAGATTTCTCAGTTATTTCTCAATGTTTTCCTTCGCTTTCAAGTCCAATTATTCTCTGTCTAGTACTGTCCCTTAAAACCTTATATACTATGTTTTTTTCTAAAATGGACAAAATACTTTCTTCCATGGTATTAATGATCATTATGAATTCAGAATAGTGAATTCTATCGCTACTATTTGTTATAGAGCTTAAGAGCAACTCAGATATTAATTGCCTTTTACAATAACTAAGCTCTGAGGTGTATTATGACTGTTACACAATGATGCCTTTCCTATCTTATATTTAACTATATAATAACTCTCTTATGTTTATGACATAGGACAGTAGACTGTGGTGGACTGATTTTTAGTAACTTTTAAAATATCTATTTTAACTACTTCTGGATAACGAGGAACAATAACTCTTAACATAACTATATTATTGAGTAACTGCTTTGGGGATTTGGGGATGATGATTAATTACTTCCAAAACTAACACCTCAAGCAATATTTAGTGATACATTAGCTCTGTAAGACCATACAATGGTATTTAAAACTACAGTGGTGCCTCGCTTAACGATTTTAATTGGTTCCAAAAAAATCGCTATGTGAAAACATCATTAAGCGAAACACCATTTCCCACAGAGATGCATTGAAAACCGGATAATCTGTTCCAATTGGAATGGATTACCGTCCTTAAGCGAAAATCGCCATAGGAAAAAACGTTAAGTGAAATGCGGTTCCCCAATTGAAATGCATTGAAGCCTTTTCAATGCATGTCAATGGGGGAGAATAAAATTCACAAAAAATTCAAAAAAGACTCAGAACAAAGCCAAATTAATTTAACGAAGGTTTTATTAGGTGCACTAATGATTCCAAGCATTTTAAACATTTTTAAACATTTTAGAATATTTTACAAATAGCGAAAACGGGGCTGTCAAAAAAAATCGTTAAGCAAAACAAGGGGACCAAAAACCTAATCATTATGTGAAGCATGGTCCCGAAATCATTAAGCGAAAATCGCCCATAGGGATAATCATTAAACGGAGCGCAAGATCGCTCCGAAAAAACATCGTTAAGCGAATTTTTCGTTATACGAAGTAATTGTTAAGTGAGGCACCACTGTACTATATACATGCAAAATTTATACAGAAAACTGAAGTAAATCTAGTAAAAATAAATGCAAACACTTAATTTTATAAACATGCCTTTGCATATCTAAAGCAATAATCCAGCATAATAATATGCCAAGACAGAGGGAGCTATATGTTTATGCAAGCTACCCTAACAGCTTTACTCACATCTTCCTTCTTAATGGAGCCATTCACCAGAGGCTGCTAAAATGTGTTGATAACAAAATTTCCCTGCAAGCTCTGATCATGCAAGATGAACTTTGTGCAATGGTCTAAACAGAGATATATTTCCATAATTTTCAATTATATAAACGCATTGCCGGTACTAGGACATTGCTCGACATAAGGTAGCACATCTTCATGTTTAAGTAATTGATTGATTTCTCCATCTGAAATGTTTTCTCCATCTAATAGTAAAGATCCTCTGCTCTTGTCTCCCCAAATGTTAGTCTCAAGAATACAAGTATAATACTGTACAATGAATTGCATCTATTTACACTATTATTGCTGTTTTATTATTCATTCTGATCCCTGTTCCTTACGTATACCTATATTACTGCAGTTGCTTTATTATATCCCTTTATTATATTTAATGTTATTTATTTTTAATGGGTTAATTTTGTTTTCATGTTATTTACTGTTTCTGAAAACTAATTCCTTTTGCTAGTCTCTTTGGAAGATTTGAACTGAAACAAATGATACAAGTATTTTCAATATATAATAGTCAAGTTGGTGTTCATTACATTTGATCATAGCTTCACAAAAGATCCAAATATATCCATCCAGTCATACGCACACACAAAACTTCTACATCAAAATGTTTATTTATTTTATTTATTTATTTTATATCCCGCCTATCTGGTCGGTTAAGACCACTCTAGGCGGCTAGAGTTATGTTTGACTTTCTCCTACACCCATGCTACTACACACAAGGGAACTTGAACCTCTGCTGCCCATGAAGCAACCACATATATGGGTATGCATGCATGCTAAGATGATATACTTGAGAAGAGCTTAGAGGATAATTTACTACTGGAATAGGGATTTAAGCGCAGAGTCACTGCACTGAAGGATGCACTGTATTTTAGCTACTCCCTGTAGACTTGGTTGAGCAAAAGGAGGACTTAACTTTCCATCACATCAAGATATGCAACTGCTGTCGAAAGTCAGTGGCCAATCCTTGTACTGTGCTCAACCAACAAAAATAGGTTCTCATATGCACACACTTGGTGATTATCCGTATCTGCATACCACTAGGGAAGTTAGGGAGAACAAGGCCAGAGAGCTTTTCCTCTGCTGCTTCATTTGAATTTCTAGAATTTCCGCCTATGAAATAAACATTTAATTTCCGGGAAACAGGATACTGTATGTTTTCAGTACAGGAACCTGAAGGAAGAAGAAAAATAGCCCAATGTGGCTCGAATGTGCTCAACGGATGGAAGGAGAACCTTCTGATAAAACTCAGTGAAAATGGGGTCACGAAAAGTCGGACATGACTAAATGACTAAACAACAACACAGTTTTCTTTACTTAATATTAAATGTTTATCTGTTTTTGTATGTCTTTGTAAAGAACTGTAAAGGAAAGTTACAAATCCTTCTAGGTTAGAAGGACTATACCTGGAGGACAATGGTCAAACTCTTGTTGCTTAATATAGTTAACTGTGTTACAGAAGGCTCACTGAATCCATGTAAATTTAGTGAAACATCTCGTCCATAACTTCCATTGATTCAAATATACCTTCTCTAATTCTAACTTACTATACGTTCCAACTAGTGCAGGACACTTTGAATCCTACATAGGAAATGACTCACCAAATCCCTATTAGTTTAATGCACGATTTACTACACCAAGCAACAAGATTTCAGCCAGTGACTCCTGACATTTCCATGGTGTCCCTTCCCACCAAATACTGAATAACTGACCTTAAGTGGTTTAGATAAGGTTAGTGAGAAAATCAGAAATACCTGCATCATTCCAAGTGCAGCTGAACAGCTACCAGGAAAACAAATACAACTTGTGCAAGCAAGATCTGGCTGATGAAGTCATGGGTCATCTGAAAAGCTGTGTCACACCTTGTGAAAGATGTTGTGTAATTCACAGCACAAGGAGAAACAAAGTGTTGGGTTGACACTTATGCAAGGATAGAGGGAGGGTCTTTGAAGTGCAGTCCTTCTTACACTAGCAGCAAGATAAATTTTGCACTTGCAGAAGAACACCACTGGATACAACCTAAAGCCACAACCTACAGATCTTTCCTTTGAGGGGAAAAAAAAGGACAATTGAAACAATGGAAGGCTCAAACTGTAAACATGCACAGCAGGGGAGTGGGAGAAAAGTATCCTGCCTAAAATGTTCAGCTGTAAAATGTTCTGATCAATGCTCTGCAGAGGTGCAGAAGCCCATTTGAGTGAGTCATAGAAAATACAAAGTAACGAAACATACTCTGGCTACCCTTTCTCTGT